TTTTGAAAGCAGAGTGTATTATCCAGGCCTCCAACTGTAAGAGAAAGAATCTTCTGTCTTCCCTTCTGGATGTGGTAAACTGGCAAATTCACTCCAGCCCAGCCAACATCCTTCCCCTTTCTCCTATACAATGTCAGACAGTTATTATATGCCTCTGGCCCCTCTTGAGGCAATCTTGAATAAATATGTGCTGGGATAGAGGGGCGGCGGGGGGGGGGGGAAGCAGGAGAGAAATAAAGCCGCTCTTTGCCTCTGCGGCGATGGGGGGGGTGAAGGGAAGAGGCGATCCAGGATATGAAAGGCCCGCAGCAGCTGAGCAAGTAGCAGCTGCTTGAGATTCCAGGCTGGCACCGAGGGCTTTGTTCCCAGGTAAATCCCTCCAAATTGGGGGGGGGGGGAAGAGGAGGAGGAGGGGCAGCTTTCATCTCCCAATTGGATAGCAGGAAGGGGGGGTTCTTGCAAGGCAAGGTGCCCAGAAACTCCTCAACGCCAGGGAACCAGTTGGCAAAGTGGAGTGTGTGTTTGTGTGTGTATGTATGTATGTGTGTATGTGTGGAGAGAGAGGAAGAGGGAGGAAGGAAGAAAAGTAATGAAATTAAGAAGGAAGGAAGGAGGGAGGGAGGAAGGAAAGATAGAAAAAAAAATTAGAAAACAAAAATAAAAAGAAAGAAAGAAAAAGAAAAAGAGAAAGGGAAAGGGAAAGAGAAAAAGAAAGAAGGAAGGAAAGAAAGAAAGAGAAAAGTAAAGAGAGAGAAAAGTAGAAATAGAGAGAAAGAGAGAAAAATAGCAAATGAAAGAGAAAGAAAGAAAGAAAAAGAAAAAGAAAGGGAGGAACAAAGGGATGGATGAGGGAAGGGAGGGAGGGAGGGGGGAAGGAAAGTGGGTAGGGAGGAAGGGAGGAAGGGAGGAAGGAAGGAGGAGGGAGGGAAGGAAGGAAGGAAGGTGGGGAGGGAAGAAAGAAAGAAAGAAAGAAAGAAGGAAGGAAGGAAGGAAGGAAGGAAGGAAGGAAGGCTAAGCCACAAAAAGAAGAAACTGCTCAACTGTGACTGATGGCACCAACTGTCAAAAATCCCAACAGGATTTTTGGAAGTTCAAAGATCCCAACAGGATTCCTTTCTTCGTAGACTGGTAGATGACAGGAGCCTTGATCCAACCCATCTGAAGTTGGCTGGCTGAGGAATTCTGGGAGTTGAAGTCCACAAGTCATAAAAGGAGCCCTCATTCCCCACCCCTGGATTAAAACATCAGCAGACTTACTTTACTTCCCACCCAGCTATCTCAAGACTTCAGAAGGAAGGTGAGAAGAGAGAATTGCCTTGAAACCGACCAGCCCTCAAAGAACAGGGAGGCCAAATTACAATATTTTCCTTCCCAGCATTACTCAAATAGGAGCCACCTCTGAGTTAATTCCCAAAGAGGCCCTGCGGCAGAGATGAAAGATTTTACTTGCAAATATTCCCCTCACAGTCTTTCCCATCCTAGGACTTTCTTCGTATGCGTCACAAAAGTGTGTGTCACCCTCAGCAGCTTGACGATTTGTGGACTTCGATTCCCAGAATTCCCTAGCCAGCCATCTTGCTGAGTTGAGGAACACTATTCTACTCTATTCCGACTTGAAGAAAAAAAGAAGTAATTTAGTTGCAAGTAATCTCTCTCAGTCTGCCCATCCTGGGACTT